GTCGGCCGCCACCAACTACCTGATCTGTACCAACTGCCGGAAAGTGCTGCGGAAGGTACGGGCTCGGCCTGGGGTTCGGCTGGAGAGGGGCGCTTCCTGCCGGCCTGGGCTGGGGCTGCTCGGCCCCGGGGCGCACTCTTACAGCGAGGCTCAAAGGGATCACCCTGCACCTTCCCAACGCCGAGGCCGAAAAAGGGGGGCGTGGGTTGAGGGGTGGAGGGTGAAGACTGCTGCTGCTTTTTATCTCCTCCGGGTCAGACACTAGTCCCGAGGGGTTGGGATTTTTTTAATTTTTATTTTTGGTACGGGGGTGCTGTGTACTGTGTTCCGGCTCATCCCACCTAAGCGCCCCGCTCCTCGGCGCAGGGAGCGAGGGACCTGTTCGACCCTGCTCCTGGTGCTGTTGATGGAGACCTGTGTGAAATCAGAACAGCCTCGTCTGGTCTTGAGGAACCTGGCTCCCTCTTCGCCGTGGCTATCTCTTGCGGGCGTTTTTGTTTACTCGGTTCCCTTCTGCCTTCCTTGGCGTGCTCCCCCCTAACACCCCCTTTTTACAGTCTCTTGATGGTCGTCTTGTATCTATAGCTCAGCCATGAAAGGAACTGGTAAAGCAGCTTGAACTTTATGCCCATGGGAAATGCAATTCGACCTTAGAGTTCCTCAGGCTGGGATGGGGGGGGGGGCACTGAGGTGGACGTGAATTATTCCTTTTTAACCCCTCCCCTGCTCGAGTTTGTCCAGAAAAATCAGACGCACCATCAGCTTATTGCGTCCCAGAGTGACTGATAGAAAGTTTACTCCAGTATTGTTTAGCTTACTTGGCTTAATCGCTCCGTTAAAGGGGGAGGGAGGGGGGAACATGTCGCTTTAGAACGAGAAAAGCTTTTAATCAGACTTTAACACTGGCCACTGGATAATATTATAATCAATTTATTCTTTTCCAAACTCTGTTTTTACATTACATTAAGTGGAAACATTAGTTGAGGTGCTTCTGTTTGTCCAGTACAAATGAATTAAAATTGCTGAGCTGTGCAAATGCTTCGGGACTGAAAGACTAAGATGAATAGGGCACCGTTTTTAGTCAATTTCTCTAAATACAGTTCGGTTGGGATTGTTATTTATACATTAAAAAAGAAAGAAAGAAAGCATGTAAGTAAGCAAGCTCAAATATTTGCGCTCTTTGTCCAAAAACTGTTTTTCTTCCTCTGTGGGTCAGGCCAAGTGCCAATCAAAGTTGTTTTTCAAGCCTCTTTTCCCTGCAGTGGAGCTGCTGCTTTTTTTTCTCCCTGTTTTATTGGAGAGCATGAAGAAAGCAAAGGGATTGCAGATTTGAAGTTAATCGAACAGTTAAATATGCCTTAAATTGTGTTTATTGGGTATGTTTTTCTTGAAACAGATTTTTATTCAATGTTCATGTTGAGTATGTGCAGTTATTTTTTTCCATAAACTCTGGGATCAAATTACAGTTGATACTTGTTCAGCTCATTGTAGGGCAGCTTGTGAGAAATGTAATGGATCAGAAGTGCAGATCAGCTTAGTTGAATGTTAACTCTTTCTCTTCAGGGCCAGATGTCATCTGAACTAAGATAAGCTTTTTTTAAAATGATGATTATTTTCTAACTTTAAAAGTGGTAAGTTATGGCTTTAACATAAAGGGAAAAAAAGTGTTGTTTGGTACACATTTGATTAAACTCAAGCCTGGTTAAAATAACAATTATTTTTTTCAACTGAAGGAAAAAAGAGCTATATTGATTTTGATTTTTTAATGACTCTGGCAATTTGGTCAGCTAATAAAATGTTTGGAGGTGATATTAGGCTTCAAAAATTTTTTTTTTTTTTTTGAGAGAACCGTGGCTATGGATTCATCATACTTTGCTAGCATTTCTTTATATCTTTCTCTTAGCTTTTGAGAAACTTTCTGTTTACCTAGAAAGAGGATGCTCATTTCTAGCCATTATTAAAAGAAAAGGGTATATGGAGGGTAGATATTCACCATTTTCATATTTTATAGTTACTATGCATACCTCTGCTAATATTCCAGTTTTTAGTATCTACAAGAGGGTATTTAGTATTGATTCATGCAGTAGCATGAAATAGCTTTAGATGGAAATGGGATTGTTTGAGCCAGTTATGACATGACTTGGCAACCTTTGTAGCTTTTTAAGAGTGGTATTCTTAAGTGTTTTTTAAAAATATCAAGTGTTTAGCATTTTAAATTCATCTTTCTAAAAGCATATGAGAGCTTATTTCTAATAGAGATGGTTTTCTTTTTGATACAAAGTATATAACTAAGTAAAATTCATGTGTAACTCTCAAAATGTGATTCTCCAAATTTATCCTGTTTTTTACTTAATAATGTGTTCAGTACTAACCAAGTGAGTCATAGCATTTTGAATTTTTATTGGGAAGAATGAAACTCATGCACACCGGTGTGAATTACTCTGTGCTGTTATAATCCTCATTAATGATGGAGGGAAAGTCACCTTTATATGTAGCATGAAACCTTTTTCTCTCTAACTGGCTTCATTTGTTGCAAAGTGTTGAATTTGGGGAGGTCTTCAAAAGGAACTAGATTCGCATGAAATAATTTGGTTTAACCCAGTATCTGAAAATTGAATTCTATATTGTATGAGAATCACATTTATTTTTACAATTGCCTTTATGATTTTGATTCAGTGTCCTCCAAAAATAAGAAGAATTCTTAAAATATTGAGTATACATTTGGTACCCTTAGGTCAGTAAAAAGAATGGAGAGGTAAACCACAGAGGGAAACAAACAAAACTGTCCTCAAATCCATAATTCCTCTGAAGTCTAACTTGTTCTCTTATCAATGAAATAATTCAATATAGTTTCTAATAAAAGAGGAAATGCCTGTATTTATTATGGAAAAGTTAATGAGTTTTGAAGTGTAATGCATTTTACTTGAAGAAATTCTAGGGACAACTGGATAAATTTTAAAGTGGAGTGCTAAACTACATTAAGAAAGGTAGGTAACTGTCAGTCCACCCATTTTCCAATAAATAATAGTATATTACAATGAACTATTAAGCAATTAGTACTGTTGAAAGAATAAAACTCTGCACTGTAAATTAGAGGGTTAAACATTTAAAAATTCTTAATATGTTTAGTAGTCCTAGTGGTATATGTTGGTTATTGCATTTTTCCACTTTGCTTATATAGTTACTTATTTTGACAACTTTTTGATGATTTTATAAGTGAAGAGACTGAAAATAAAGTGGAAAATACTGGCTTGAACCATATGAACCTCATTTTTCTAGTCAAAATTGTCAGTTAATAGCAATTTTATATGGTTCAGACAATAGAACAGAATTACTTTGACTATGGATTAGTAGCTATATTTTGCCTTTGTTAATCAGGTTTCTTATGTACATAATTTTGATTGTCAAAAGCAGTTCTTTACTTTGTTTTATCTTAAATGAACTAAACAGATTAAGCAGGGAATTTATGATAACAATCCATTATGCAATGGTTTTCAAACTGCTTTTTATGGAGCCCTAAAATGCTTGTGTTCAAAAATGCATGAGTTGGATTAAATTTTTAAGTACATTTTAAATTATAATGTAAAAATATAGCTACCCTAAAGTCTGTTTTATCAAATTTTAACAGTGTTCAAAAAGTTATTTTTTGTTACAAGATTATTCTTATACAGGGCTTGAATTAAACCTCATTCTTCTACCTTTGTACGTATTTTTGACCATTTTTTGTTAATATGATATTGGTGAGAAAGATTGTCATTGATTATGAAGGCACTGGCCTTTAATAAAAAATTCATTCCTGTACATACCTACTTATGTTGAATTTTTACTTGTGAGAACACAAACTTGTTATCAGTAGTTGTTACTTTGTCATGAAAACACATAAAAATAATTGTTTTCTGTATTTATGTATTTCATAGTTCAGATTCAATATAAGATTTCATTTGTAAAAGGGATTCTGTTGCTCTCCCCACTTTCCCCACCACTAAATAAATTGCTAAAACATAACTGCTAGTGTAGTGATTCTGGAGTCCACAAAATGTGCTCACAGATAGATCTTTGATAGGTCCTTTAACTTTGGGCAAGTAAGTTAATTTCCTTGAAGCCCACTTTTCTCTATAAAAATGTAGATAATTTCTACTTACCTTATAGGTAGCTGCATAGCTTGAGAGAAGTAGCGAGTGAGAAAATACTTTGTAAACCATAAAGTACAACTATAAATACAAGAAAAAGGCAAGCCTATTTATTTTCCCCTTTCCCAGATACCTTAGTTCTTTATCTGTTGTTGGAATATATTTCAATACATACTAAGTAATTTGGTTAGTCATCACTTTTCTGTCCTGTTTACTTATTACCTGTAAATGAGAGGTAAAGATATTATGCTTTAGTTCAAACGATCAACATTTTAAAATTTGCATATATGTATTTGTATTCAACTTCCCCTCTCTCCCCCTTAAATAGTAATCCAATGAGTACTTTTTGGTTTTTCCAATAATTAAAATAAAATTGCCTTTTGGACACTAACAGTTGAGGGAAATTGGTACTTGGTTTGAAAAGACTAAGAGTTAAGGATGATTGTGTTTAATAGAAGTTGGCTCAAATCTAGGGTAAAGCAAAGAATTTTTAATTATTTTAATTTGGGAGAAGAGTTATGGAAGTAAAAGTCTCTGGGTCTTTCCTCCCTTCACCCCTTTATTTTTTTCCCTTTTGAAGGAATGGGGTTATGCTTATCTAGACCATCACAATTTTTAGAGTGTTTTCACATTATCTCAGTTGATTCTCACAATCAGAAAATTCAAGCAGCATGGCCTTTGTCATATAACTAGTAAGATGGCCATTTAATTGTTATTACTGCCTCTATAATAAATAAAACCATATTTCACTTGTCTCCCTCAGTGTTGAGGTTGTCAAGGAATATCCCCACTCCCAGCTTCAGCATTTGGGGAATGTCTATAGGTGCCTAAAACTCTCCAGGTAATATTGGTTGGAAGTGTGAATTTTAGCTACTCTTTGACACATTATTGCAGATCAACTGGAGGGAAAGGAGAGGAGATAGCT